TATAGTCCAGACTATAGTATTGACTATAGACCTGACAATAGTTTTGACTATAAACCAGACTCTAGTGTCTATTATATTCTCGATTATAGATCAGACTACACACTACACTATAGAACAGACTGTACTCTCGACTATAGACTATATTATCTACTATAGACCAGACTATAATCTCGATTATAGACTAGCCTTCGTCATCCCTTTTCTACGTGATCTGATGATTTATCATCTAAGACTGGAAACTATATGTTTTCGTATTTATTACATTCAAATAGTTGACCACACTTAACGTTAGGTGTTTTCTCTCAGACTGAGGTCTTCGTTTTTTTTTTATAAATAACATCTCAAACAACAACAACAATCATTATAATGATTATGTTGAAACAACAATTGCGATTAAAACGCACACGCAACTTAATGGCCATGTTGCCACTTTTCTTTAGCATTTTTTATAAATACAATTATTATTGTTTTTAATATAATATTTTGTAAATTTTAGCCTAATTGAATGAATAAATTAATTCAGACACGAGTTCAAAACAACAGGTTAATTATTATATTTTGTTTATTTCTAATGCAAGACACATACTATCATGTTTAGAATAATGAAATAAAAAAATCAAGATCTAGATATTGTTAATACAGTGAAAATTATTTTATTAATTATTTGTATCTACTTCTTCAAGGAGCTTGGACCTGCAAAATTATTCAAATCTTTAATCAGTGATCTTCTACTCAAAAATTGTATGCAATTCTTCAATCTTCGCTTCTTGTATTGTTTTTATTATAATTCACTTTATAATTTAAATTAAAGTTGACTGATCTAAAGAAAAAAGTTGGTAATTGTGTTTTAATTTTTATTTTTTTACTTTTCTTATGAATGTCTGCCATTTTAAGTTTAATGTTTAATACAATCTACAACAACATCAGGTAAAAAAAAAACAATGCAAAACAGGTTGAATAACCTCAAAAAAATTATTGTATATACGCTACAGAGAGACGGAACGGGACGAGACCGAACTTGCATACATATTGGCAAAATAAAAAAGCTTCATACTATAATGCGAATAAATATTATTAGCCATCGTATACAATTCTTCATACATATGTTTAATGAACAAATATACAACAAACTTTCTGTTGTATTTTGTTGAATATACACTAAGAAAAGTTAATTATTATTTTATAATTTTCAAGGTAATTACAAGTTGTACGAATATGTATACAAAAGTAATTATTTCCAAAATATTACTATATACACTATTGTATACAAATATGTATTTGTTATCTGACATTCAAAAATAAAAATAACCTAAGCGGTAAAGAATTGGAAACATTAAAATGACAACTTCACACCGTAACGTACCTATTAACACTTGGCGAAAATTTGTCAACATAACAACTGCACTGTTAATCGTAATGGGTGATAAATGATCATAAATAATCGTAGAAAAATAGATAAATGTTCCATAAGCTTCGCTAGGATCTTAAATAGACCAAACTATAGCCTATAGACCAGACTATAGTCTCGCCTACAGGCATGGAAAATTCTCTTTTTTTATATCGGAAAATACCGCGGTACCCCGAGGACATTTTCGGTCCTTTTTCTAAATTACTAACTTTTGATAAGTAATCGACAGACCAGTCTGTAGTGTAGTCTATAATCTAGTCTAGTCTATAGTCTAAACTATAGACTAGACTATAGACTATGATCATTTTAGTCTATAGGCCAGTCTATAGTCTATAGTCTAGTCTATGGTCTAGTCTATGGTCTAGTCTATGGTCTAGTCTATGGTCTAGTCTATGGTCTAGTCTATGGTCTAGTCTATGGTCTAGTCTATGGTCTAGTCTATAGTCTAGTCTATAGTCTAGTCTATAGTCTAGTCTATAGTCTAGTCTATAGTCTAGTCTATAGTCTATAGTCTAGTCTATAGTCTAGTCTATAGTCTAGTCTAGTCTAGTCTATAGTCTAGTCTATAGTCTAGTCTATAGTCTAGTCTATAGTCTAGTCTATAGTCTAGTCTATAGTCTAGTCTATAGTCTAGTCTATAGTCTAGTCTATAGTCTAGTCTATAGTCTAGTCTATAGTCTAGTCTATAGTCTAGTCTATAGTCTAGTCTATAGTCTAGTCTATAGACTAGTCTAGTCTATAGTCTAGTCTATAGTCTAGTCTATAGTCTAGTCTATAGTCTAGTCTATAGTCTAGTCTATAGACTAGTCTAGTCTATAGACTAGTCTAGTCTATAGTCTAGTCTATAGTCTAGTCTATAGTCTAGTCTATAGTCTAGTCTATAGACTAGTCTAGTCTATAGTCTAGTCTATAGTCTAGTCTATAGTCTAGTCTATAGACTAGTCTAGTCTATAGTCTAGTCTATAGTCTAGTCTATAGTCTAGTCTATAGACTAGTCTAGTCTATAGTCTAGTCTATAGTCTAGTCTATAGTCTAGTCTATAGTCTAGTCTATAGACTAGTCTAGTCTATAGTCTAGTCTATAGTCTAGTCTATAGTCTAGTCTATAGTCTAGTCTATAGTCTAGTCTATAATCTAGTCTATAGTCTAGTCTATAGTCTAGTCTATAGTCTAGTCTATAGTCTAGTCTATAGTCTAGTCTATAGTCTAGTCTATAGTCTAGTCTATAGTCTAGTCTATAGTCTAGTCTATAGTCTAGTCTATAGTCCAGTCTATAGTCTAGTTTATAGTCTAGTCTATGTCTAGTCTATAGTCTAGTTTATAGTCTAGTCTATAGTCTAGTCTATAGTCTAGTCTATAGTCTAGTCTATAGTCTAGTCTATTGTCTAGTCTATAGTCTAGTCTATAGTCTAGTCTATAGTCTAGTCTATAGTAGTCTATAGTCTAGTCTATAGTCTAGTCTATAGTCTAGTCTATAGTCTAGTCTATAGTCTAGTCTATAGTCTAGTCTATAGTCTAGTCTATAGTCTAGTCTATAGTCTAGTCTATAGTCTAGCTAGTCTAGTTATAGTCTAGTCTCTATAGTCTTCTATAGTCTAGTCTATAGTCTAGTCTATAGTCTAGTCTATAGTCTAGTCTATAGTCTAGTCTATAGTCTAGTCTATAGTCTAGTCTATAGTCTAGTCTATAGTCTAGTCTATAGTCTATAGTCTAGTCTATAGTCTATAGTCTAGTCTATAGTCTATAGTCTAGTCTATAGTCTATAGTCTAGTCTATAGTCTAATCTATAGTCTAGTCTATAGTCTAATCTATAGTCTAGTCTATAGTCTAGTCTATAGTCTAGTCTATAGTCTAGTCTATAGTCTAGTCTATAGTCTAGTCTATAGTCTAGTCTATAGTCTAGTTTATAGTCTAGTCTATAGTCTAGTCTATAGTCTTGTCTATAGTCTAGTCTATAGTCTAGTCTATAGTCTAGTCTATAGTCTAGTCTATAGTCTAGTCTATAGTCTAGTCTATAGTCTAGTCTATAGTCTAGTCTATAGTCTAGTCTATAGTCTAGTCTATAGTCTAGTCTATAGTCTAGTCTATAGTCTAGTCTATAGTCTAGTTTATAGTCCAGTCTATAGTCTAGTCTATAGTCTAGTCTATAGTTAGTCTATAGTCTAGTCTATAGTCTAGTCATAGTCTAGTCTATAGTCTAGTCTATAGTCTAGTCTATAGTCTAGTCTATAGTCTAGTCTATAGTCTAGTCTATAGTCTAGTCTATAGTCTAGTCTATAGTCTAGTCTATAGTCTAGCCTATAGTCTAGTCTATAGTCTAGTCTATAGTCTAGTCTATAGTCTAGTCTATAGTCTAGTCTATAGTCTAGTCTATAGTCTAGTCTATAGTCTAGTCTATAGTCTAGTCTATAGTCTAGTCTATAGTCTAGTCTATAGTCTAGTCTATAGTCTAGTCTATAGTCTAGTCTATAGTAGTCTATAGTCTAGTCTATAGTCTAGTCTATAGTCTAGTCTATAGTCTAGTCTATAGTCTAGTCTATAGTCTAGTCTATAGTCTAGTCTATAGTCTAGTCTATAGCCTAGTCTATAGTCTAGTCTATAGTCTAGTCTATAGTCTAGTCTATAGTCTAGTCTATAGGCTAGTCTATAGTCTACTCTATAGTCTAGTCTATAGTCTAGTCTATAATTCTGAATTGCAAAAAAAATTATAATACCTATTACTATCTGCCCTTTCATTCATTAATTTTACAATAAAATATTTTTAACCGTAATTATATTAAAAATAGAAATTTTGTATTTATGTATCTAACAAAATACAGATAAAGTTAAATCGAACTAACAACTGGGTTATTTACTTTAAAGACTATATCAAAATATGTATTATTAACCCATCATCCGCATATATACAAATATGTACATTGTACAAGTGTTGTTGGATGTTTGCTTTTGCCAAAAACACCAAAATAAAAACAAACATATAAATAACAACAAACATTATTCTTAAGACCAGCAAAAGCATTTACTAGACAAAAACCGATAGAGATAAATGAATTTCACTCAATTGAAATTTTTCTCTCAAATTTTAGCAAATTTCTTTGGTAATTCCTTTATGGTTTCGCTCTTCGGTCATGTTCAATCAATAGAGAAATCAAAACAAACTGGCAGAAAAAATACATATTTTTCTTAAACTTTGACAACAACAAATGAAGAAAGAAAAGACAAACAACGTGAATGCATAACAGGAAAAGTTAATTTAAAAGAAATGAAAAAGAATTTATAAGAAAACATGACAACAAAGAGAATGAAGCAAGTAGCATGACTCTGTCGAGAATAAATGTGCTGTTTGTTTGATTGGAGGTGGTGGCAGAAATGGCAAAAACATCGTTCTTCGTCACTAAATATTAAAAAAAACTCAAAATACCAAAAGCCGGTGGGTTGTGTACACATATGTATACCTATACACACGCCTATATTATTAAGTTGTATTAAATTCCTCCTCCTTCATGGCCTTGAAATTAAGCGAAATTTTCGCCGCTACTATCGTCTGGCAACTTAATAAACCAAATAATAGATTTATGAAAATTTACACTTACCAGCCACTTTTAATAATTCCGCATCCACCAGATCGGTAAGATCTGGCTCCTCGCCATACCAAAATATCCATAATTCTTTGGCGGCCGCTAGTGATAGAGGTGGATGCACTTTTGAGGTGTTAACATCAAACATTGCACTTGGATCCGAGTTATCTTGTCTGGTAGACTGAACACGTCTCCAAACACATAGAATGTCAGCTTGCATACATCTTGAATAGGAGCGTAAGATAGGATCATCCAGTGGATCACTGGATGCATTTGGTCGCTCATTGTTAACAAATTTGCGCCATTTTATACCGCATAAATCAGTCTAGAATAAAGAGAAGAGAGAAATTATTATTAGTGTTTATGAAAAGTATTAAAAATATTAATAATTATTTTTTATCTTTACTTGTATGTTTTTTCACATCTTTGATATTTATTCATTTCTGTTTGTACAATTTTTGCTCTCTTTTTTAATAAACTCTTCTACATGTCTATTTTCGAATTTACTGTATCTCTCCCTCTAAATCTCACTAACTCTATATCTTTTGTTAATATCAGGCATGGAAAATTCGCATTTTTATATCGGTACTTTTTCTAATATATTCACCCCTATCGCCAATCAACATTTCACGTGGAATGTGTTCCCTTTTCACATTATTCGTTCACTAACTTTTTTGACGCAGAGATACAAGACGAGACGGCTCAAATCGGCGGCGGCTGGCCGCCGGTAATATTTTGCAAGCCGCGCCGCCGCCGACTTCTTTCGGCTCAAAAGCTAAGCCGGCTTAAACGTAGCCGCTGATAAAGATTAGAATCGCACATGTATTTGAACGGAGTTGCCACTATTTTAAATTCTTATGGCAAATTGAAAAGAGTTGCCACACAATATTGTGCTAATATTAAAATAGTGAAAACTACTATAAGTGTCCACTTTCTGCAGAAAAAAACTTATATAGAGACAGGTTTCTATGTAACAGACTATTATACAAAGTTGTTCAATATAATAAACCTTATAAGGTTAATTTCTGAAGAAAAAGTTAAATTGAGCCGACAATTTAGCCGCCGCCGATATTTTCTGTAATAAGCCGCCGCCGCCGACCCATAATGGTTGCGCCGCCGCCGCCGATCATTTCGCATCGGCTTGTATCTCTGTTTTGGCGTTGTGAAATTTGTTGATAGAATTTTGTAAACATTGAACAGCTGTTGCATACAAAATCAACTACTGTGAGTGAATTGTTCACGATAGCAATTTTCCCTTCGAGAGGAATGAAAATTTCAATGGAACAAAAATTTCATATCTATTGGCGGTAGTGGTATTAACTTTTGATAAAAAGTCGACAGAACAATATGTAGTGTAGTCCATAGTTTTGTCTATAGTCTTATCTATAGTCTAGTCTATAGTCTAGTTTATAGTTTTGTCTATAGTATAGTCTACAGTCTTCTCTATAGTCTAGTCAGTAGTTTAGTCTTGTCTATAGTCTAGTCTATAGTATTGTCTATAATTAAGTCTATAGGTTAGTATACAGTCTAATCTATATTATAGTCTATAATCTCGTCCATATTATTGCCTATTGTCTATAGAATAATTTATAACCTAATGTAATCTATAGTCTAGTCTAGAATAATTAATAGTCTAATATAATCTATAGACTCTAGAGGAAATTACCTTAAAAACTATTTCAAAATTTCAATTATCCATATCTGGTTAATATGTTTCATAAGGGGAGCAACAAACTAAGGTATTGCAAAAATGTTTTAATACAAAAAAAAAATAACAACAAAAGAAAACCTACAGAATTATTATACCAGTTTGAAATCTATAAAAAAATATACCAACTCATGTTTGGACACAGATACTTATGCCCCCGATAAGCAACTATGACGTTTATTGAGTGAGTTCGCTAAAACTCATTCTTTCTCGCTCACTATCCCCACTGGGATGCAACAAACACAGTCAAACAAACACATGTAAATTTTTTACTATAAATAAAAGGTAAAAACAAGAAAATTAAAAAGAAAAGAAACACATCAACATACTAAAGAAAAGTGAAAAGAGTACGTACAACTTTAAAACGGCATATCATTGATAAGACACAACAACAATATTATAAACTTTCTTGTTTTTTTTTTGCAATTTTATTCAGAAACACTAAAACAACTGCGAAAAGGTACTAATTACTTTAAATTTTTTAAGTAGATATTCAAAGTTATATTTATAACAGAACTTTATAAGATATTCAAGACTCGAGTTTGGATTTAGAAAAGCAAGATGCGGAGATAAGACTTTCAAGTAACAAGGACTAAGTAGGCATATTGGAAAAAAATTATGTAGATGTGAATAAATACTTAGTACTACAATTATCCTTACCAGAAAATAATACAAAGTCAAAAGGCAACTACTAAAAAGGTGTTAAAATATAAATATTTGATTTTAATAACATTTGTACAATGTAATCAAGTTTTATTATTGTTAAGGAGGAGGTCAATATCACACCTATTATTTATAATAAAATTACAGTTTACCAAAAAAATAAAAAAAAAATACGAAAAAGAAAAACAATGAAAAAACACACACGCTACAAATGAACAGAAATACAACACCTGTTATTATAGTTAGTTGTTGTTTCACAGTTTTATTTTTGTGCAACAGTTATATTTTTATTTATATATTATTTGACAAACTCATTCACATGTATAAAATAAGAAAGAAAAATACAACAACATACATTACTACTCCTAAGTGTATTTGTTTTCTTCTTACCACAAACTAGACAAACAAGTTTAAAACAAGTTGTGTGTATGATACTTAAAGAAAAATATATATAATTTTTTTATAAAAATAGGGTAAATGCACCTAATGTCGGCATCACCCAGTAGTCGGCATCTTTTACATAAAAATGTAAATAAATAAGAAAAGCTGTACAAATTTATTAAGCTTTGATCTATATTTCATAGAAAATATGGTCTTTTTGCTTTATGAAATGAGTAAATTTAAGTAGGATTACTAATTTCCTCTATATTTGACGTTGTTTTGTGACAGCTTTGCAGCATTTGCAGTACTGTCAGTTTTCTTAACAAAAATTTAGTTTTAGTGCCACCTTAAACAAGTAAATATTTATATTAAATTAAATGATTTATTTGACAAAAATTGATATAAATGAAAGAAAACAGTTGAAATATTCAATTTAAAGTGAAAAAGTTAGATAAAAATATATTTTTTTGTAATTTTAATCGCTGCCGCCATTAGGAACACAATTTTTTATGAATTCTTATTGTCGGCATAGGGGTGCCGACTACTGGGTATTAAGTTCGATCATACGTATTCTATAGTCGGCACTCTAAAATTTATTATTTCTCTATAGAAAATTGGGTATATTACTATGAAAAATTTCTATATAACAATTTTCTCTTCAAAAATTATACGTATAACAGTTATTTTTGTAAAAAAATTTATGTATAACACTTCTCTATAAAAATTTATGTATATTACAATTTTCTCTATAGAAAATTGATTGTACAACATTTGTTTCTATAGAGAATTATGTGTATACAATTTTTTTCTATAGAAAATTTTATGTATAACAATTTTTGATACAAAAAATTATGTGTATATCAGTTTTCTCTATGAAAAATTGTGTGTATACCCTTTTTTTTCTATAGAAAATTACTTCTATAATAGCTTTTTCTACAGAAGATTACAATTTTCTACTACAGAATATAATTTTCTATACAAAAAATATGTCTATAACAGTTTTTTCTATTAAAAATTTTGCATATTTTTTTTTCTAACAAAAATTGCTTCTTAACTGTTTTTTTACAAAAAAATTATGAGTATAACATTTTTTTTTCTATAGAAAATTCCTAGTATGACAATTTTTCTATAGAAAAGTGTTCTTGTTATAATATCCTCTACGAAACTTATGTTTAATTTTTTTCCTATAGGAAATTGCATATTTTTATAAAAGATTTTCTTTAAAAAACAGTACATATAACAATTTTCCCTATAAAAAATTACTTTTTTCTCTAACAAAAAATACAATATTGTATAGAAAATTGCATGTATAACTCTTTTTCTATAGAAAAAAAATGTTATTATGTATACTTATTACAATTATAATTATGTTTATAACACATTTTTCTACAGAAAAAAATGATATTATTACAGTTATTTCTATAGAAAAAATTTAATTAAATATTTTCTTTGGAAAATTGTGTATATATCACTTTTTTCTATAAATAAATATGCTTTTTTCAAACAAAAAATCTACTGCCGACTATAGGGACATTTTTTGTCGAACTTAGGAACACTGGTGCCGACTATTGGAAAATGTGGAGTTTTTAACAAAATTTACAAATTACTAAAAACTAGTTATTTGTTTTTCAAAAAAGTTAAATGGATCTAAAACTTAACTAAACACATAATTGAAATAACTAAAAATCATCGTAATAACATTTTCCGAATCTTTAGGGGGATAGTTTGAAAAAGAGAAAAAAGTTAAACTGCCGACTATTGGTACATTTACCCTATAAACACACAAATACAAAAACAATAATATCTAACATAAAAAGAAAATAGAAATAGTACTTAAGAGAGAGAGAGAGGGAAGTACGGTGTTGCCAAAAATGTAATAAATATTTTTTAAATTTATATTTCTATTTTATAATCTCACTATACATATACTGCCTTATTCATAAACATCTATCAAAGGTTTATAAAACAAATTTTATATGAAAATTTAATTTATAAACCTTTGATAAAAGTTTATATGAATATGACCCATAGTCGAAAGAAAATAGAACTTACAGAATAGATCATAACAATCTTTAGACGAAATACTAAAGATCAATTTATAATCGAAAGACTATAGAACAATCTATAGTCGAGAGACTAAAAATCAATCAATCTATAGTCGGATAGTCCAAATATTAATCTCTAATTAAGAGACTATAGATCAATCTATACTCAAAAGACTAAAGATTAATCTTTGGTCGACAGATTACTGATTCATCTATAGTCGAAAGGCTATAGATCAGTCTATAGTAAAAAGACTATTGATCAATCTATAGTCGAAAGACTTAAATCAATCTCATGTCGAGGGACTGTAGATCAATATCTATTCTTATAGTTATAGACAAATCTCTAGTCGAGTGACTAGAGATTAATCAATAGTCGAATGATGAAGATTAATCATTAGTCGAGATACACTAGATCAATCTATAGAAGCGATATATCAATATACTAAAGATCAATACATAGTCGAGAGAATATACATCAATATATAGTCGTGAGTCTCAAGATCAATCTTTGGACAAAAAGTTATAGATTAATCAATAGTCGAGTTACTCTCTAGTCACTCATTAATACTCGATTAATAAAAATCAATCTATAGTAGAGAGATAATAGATCAATTTATAGTCAAAAAGTTATAGACCAATTTATAGTCGAGAGACTAGAGATTAATCATAGTGGAATAATAAAGTTCAATCTATAGTCAAGATACTATAAATCAATCTATAGAAGCGATATATCAAGATACTAAAGATCAATTTATAATCGAGAGACTAGAGATTAATCAGTAGCGAATAATAAAGATCCATCTTAGTGGAAAAACTACAGATCTATTTTTAGTCGAGAGTGTAAAGATCAATCTATTGTTGAGAGACTTTAGATCGAGAGGTTTAGAGATTAATGACGTGAGTGAACTACAACCCAGAAACGATTTTTTTCTTTTTCACAAAACTTTTACATTTTTCAAAACGTAAATTTTGTAAATACTCTTAATTAAAATAAATTAAAAAACAACATACTACTCACCAAGGCAAAAAAGTTTGTATGGCAATCCTCCAAACTAGCGCCGTTAGTCTGATGTGATTGATGCGTCATAGTTCATAGATTTTGTTTGCAATACAGCAGCTCCTCATTTTCTCAATTGTTGATATTAATTTTTGTTTGTTGTTGTTTTTGTTCTTTTTTTTTTAAGATTATAACTATAGATGATTGGCAAAGATAGTAATAAAACAACAATGGTATTGTTTTTTTTAAATGGTTACGTTTTTTATATGAAAGTTTAGTTATTTATGCTGCTGTCTTAATTGTTTACGAGGCAAATTTGTGTTTTTATAAAATTCTTCTTGTTTATTTTTCTTTTCATAACAATTGGAAGAAGAAGGCGATTTTATAATACATTTAGATTTTGTACTTATTCTTTTTTATATTTATTTATTATTATTTTGTATTTGCTGTTATTTATTACAACAGTAATGTAGTAAAACACACACACTCACACTGTTATATTGTTTTGAATTAAAATGTAAAGTTTCGCTCATAATTAGAGAGGTGGTGTACGAATATAAAGAGACATCTGTTGAAGGAGAAAAATAGAGAGTGAGATTATGTTAGAAGAAGGTGAGTTGAGTTTTTTTTTTATACAAATACAAGTTGATAGCTTTATTTTATATGTAAATTTTTGGATTTTATTGTTTTTGTTTTTTTATCATTGGAATTTTGTTAATTATTTTTTAGAATTTGTTGTTGTTGATTTACTGGCGATTTTTTTTTTTTTGCTGTTGGTTTGCCTGTTATTTACTTTTATGAATTAAAGCTTCACACTAAATTAAGTAAATTTTTTCGTAAATAAATGAAAATCATTTGAAAATAAAAATGACCACAATAACAACATTTTTATTATACGTAGGTCGTTGTCTATTTTATTGACTATTTTGTGAATATGTATTATTTAATTTCTTTTTTAATTTAACTCTCACACGCGCATGTTAATGAAATTTTCACTTTGTTTTTTTTTTTTTTTTAACAATAACGAATTGTTGCCGAATGCACGACCCATCGAAGGCACACGTTTTAAAATTATTGTAAAATAAAACACATTTTTTAATAAGATGCTGCTGCTGATGTTTTTGTTAAGAAATTATAGATATAAATATGTTTTTGTTTTGATTTATTTTATATTATGTACTTTTTTATGAATTTACTACTAAAGTTGACAAAAAAAAAACAACAATACAGAAGGAGAATGTAAATAAGAGTAAAATTATATTAGTTAAATTTTGCAAAGGAGTGAGTACAAGTAAGAAGAGAGAAATTTGAGTTGAGCAAAGCAAAATAAAAAACAAGCAACAAAAACTCAATTTTTTATTATTAGTTTGGTATCGTTAAAATTCATCGACGTAGACAGCAAAAAATAACATACAAAAATATATTACACTCTTCTTATTAAAACAAGTGAGTTTGTTTGTGTATACAAATATTATAAAGTTTAGCTAAACATTGTTGTTGTTGTTGTTGTTTTTCTTTTGTGTGTTTGATTTTTTTTTATACATGTATGAAGTAGCAACCAACCGTAGACGACTTTTGTGTAATAGATGGATGATGATAATGATGATGACGACAAACATTTATATTTATGAAATCAATTCTTCTTCTTATTTTAGTTGTTATTGTTTTAATTTTTTATAAAGATAATAACATTTTCACTTTTTGTTGATTTGTTTTATTAATTTTTATTATGAATTTTACCAATAAATTTTATTTTAAAATATATTCTTAATAGTTTACATGTTTTTCACTCTACTTTTGTTAAGTATCTATACAAATTATTCAATGTAGAAAATTTCTTTATATTTTTTTTGCAAAAATATTAAATGTAGAAAGAGTATTTTAAGCAAAATGTTAACAACCGTATACGACTGACGACTACTGACTGCCCAACGAATGAGCAACGACACGACGGCAACGACAACATCGATTGTCGTCTACACAATGGAAATTTTGCTTGTTTTGCTTTGCTATTGTATTTTATTTGTTTTTGCTTTTATTTTTGTTGTATCAGTGTTGCCATTTTAAATTATTATAAACAAACACAAATGAAAATAAGAAAGAAAAAACGTTGAATCATTAGTAAAGAGAATACATTTACAAGCAGATAAATTGAAATGTAGAGGAAAAGTAAATCCGTAGCGCTTTGGGTTCCCTCTGTTTATGGTATCAACAAAGTATGATACATCGATACGCCACCAAATATAAAATTAGGAATTTCCCTTCAATCCTACTAATAAATTCAGATTCATTTAATCATAGCCGTCGCTCATAGCCGTCGTCATACAGAAAATAGTAATTATTTATACCTAATAGATTAGAGGATAGTTCCAAGTTAGATTCATTATATTGCCAAGTGACATATGACATTAGCAAACTATTCTATCTTCACAGTCTGATAATACGACTATGGAAACAAATTTGGTATACCTATAGGATAGGAAAATTATAACGTAAATGATATTAAGGTTTTGAATTGAGAAACTATGTAGTATAGAAAAATTAAATATGAAAAATTGCTTCACTTTGTGCATTTCAGAGAACCTTCGTTTCATAGACATGTTATTTTAGGCTATTTAGATTTGCTCTGATTTCACTCGAGTGAAATTAATTTCTCTGTAGAACTTTTGTATTAAAAAAGACTTCTCTAATAAGAGTTCTTCAGAATATGGGAATTAAGTCTAAGCCAAGAAATTAGGCTACTTCTACAGGGTTAGTCCATAAATCTATTGGGATAAGTAAAGTAGGTAGGGCAGGATAGTTGAATATGTGGGGGCGGCACAAGTAGACGTTGAGCCTGTTGCGGTAACGTGAAACCATGATATTGATGGCGTCTCTATGAATAGCGTTCAAAACTGATGCATACGAATTACGATCCTAAGGATACTGCACATATCTTCGTATAATCTCCTCGTATACACGAAGGTCCTTCCTGACATGCCTCAGGAGAGTATCCAACAGTGGGATTTAGTAGTATTTCAAATACATTCCGGAAGTAACTTATAGTCAGCATGACATAATGTTACTACACTGGGAGTACCTTCGTTTCCTCGTATAGTTGGCACGCCGAGGTTATTTGCATGCAGAATATTACAGTCCGTAGGGCAGCGTTTTGGCAGCTTTGAATATTTCTCTACATGATATCACTCAGTGAAGAAGACAACACTGGAGCAGTATAATTGCCCACTGACCGGCCAATTGTTTTATAGGTAGCCACCAAGGTTTCTTTGTCCTTTAATTAGAGCTGCCGGCTAGCACTTTGAGGGCCTTGTTTCTACTTCGCAATCAGTACATAAATACAGTGGCATGAGCTGAGGTAAACAGACTGTTAACACAGTCGGTATTTGGGTTCCATCGACTATGACGCCTAAATTCATGTTTACCTCCTTTGTCCAGGTGGTGAAGAGTGTTGCTAAAGACTTCTCTGGTGATAGTTTCAGTTTATGTCTAATGAAGAAATTGTATATTTCTCTAAGATAACCATTCACTGGATCGCATAGATCATACGTTTTACCCATCGCCATAATGGTGCAATCGTCCACATATGATATAAAGTTACACATCTTGTGGAGGTGTGGGGAGTTTGTAGATGTAGAACTTCAACAGTAGGGAGCTATAACACAGCCCTGTGGTACTCCCTGTTTAAGAAGAAAGATGAAGGTATAACAGATTCCCAAAAAGGCAACACTGATGACAGCATATAAAAAAAACATTGTTTCTTCTCTTTTACTTAGATTAAATTAAAAACCAAATTTTTAAAAAGGGCAGAATTGTTAAACCAAAAATAATAAAGAAAATATACAACAAATGACGGGGTAACACAGACTGAACCTAATAGGTAGAAATGTTTACAAATACAGATGTATAGAACAAATTTGTGAAGATTTATTTGTTTGTTTTTCTATAATTTTCAATTCTAGTAGTTAATATTAAAAAAATTATTTACGTAGGTTTTATTTTGCATGATGATGATAAAAAAGTTTTTTTAATAAATTTGCTGGCTTTTCTCTAGATTTGTGTAATTACTACAAAGTGTTTTTATTTACTGTCTGTATAGGTACATACAACAACACATATCTACGTTTTTCTTTGATTTTTTATTCATTTTTTGTTTTTTTTGTTTTTGTACAAGTTATTTAGGTTTCTTTTGTCTATTGTTGCTGCTTTTTTTTTTGTATGAGAACTTAAAATCAAGTCGAGGGCGATGCACGCACACAAGAGTTCGCTTGAAAAATCCACAATCAAAGAGGAACCAACAAAAATAAAAGATGAAAACACTTTACACTGAATATAAGAAAAAAATGTAATAACACAAAAATACTCCGCTTCGTTTTTCTGTCAAAGAGAGAGAGAGAGAAAGAGAGCATATAATACTGAAAGAAAAAAAGTCTCACACATAAAAAACAACAACAGTAGTTCATACATAATTATATATATTTTTGTTGCCGTTGTGTGTTTTTGTTTTCATCAACTATTAATGGAGTATAGAGACGATGACAACACACTCAATGCAAGAGGGGAAAGACGGGTGGGGGTGGAGTTGTTGTTTATTTCTCATATGACTTTTGGCAGTAAGTATAGCCGCAATAATCAAGTAACTAACCAAGCAAATATCAAATTAAAAACAAACATATTTATCAGTTAAGCTAAACCAGGTATAAAATTTTGAAAATTAATAATCATATTTATCTTTATTTATTAAGAAGTATTAATACACTTTAAGGTATTTAATAAGTATTAAAGATTGAAATTAAAAATCTTTTAACCGACTACAATTGAATTTGAAGAATCGAAAAAAGCCAATTATTCCGATAATAGGATTAGCTCCACTGTCTGAAAAACACGTCCTCCTGGTATTGCAGTATTTTAATCAAGTACGGAAGAGTTTTTAATAAAAAGTCTCATAAAGAAAATTATTTGAAAACAAATATTTTACGAAACCTCCTATTTATTTTCTACTTTTATTAGGCATAGTGTGATTGAAAATATCTACTAATCGAAGATATACTATAAATTTAAAAAAAAAAATATCAAATCGAATATCGAATTCATTCAAATTTTATTAAAAATGTTATTAAACTAGAAAAAAATTCTTCAAACATAGAAAATATATAAAACTTTATTTCAAAAGAGGAAATATTATTGGATATTTTTCTATAAAAAAAAGAAAATTAAGCAAAAATGTTTAATGAAAAGAAAACTTTAGGCAAAATATGTATTTTATAAAAATTTAACGAAAACTTTCTGTAAAAAGTTTAATACTCCTTTTTTAAATTAATAAATTTCATATTTAAAAAAGGAATATTAATATTTATAGACATTTTTTTTACAAAAATTTTAATTTTATCGAAAATGTTTTTAAAATATAGAAAATTTATTAAAATATTCTTAAAAAGATGAGAATTTGTTAAAATTTTTTATAAAAATACAAAATAAATCAAATAATTTCAGTGAAATTATCGAAATATTCTATAAAAATTAAAAGTAGACTATAAAAATATTTATATTAAATATTTTTTTGAAAAATAGTTTAAAAAATTTCAAAATTTAAAAAAAATTAAAAAAAAGTAGAATAATCGAAAATTCATGAGGAAATCTACTAGTATATAAAATTTGTCCAAAAAAATAAAATATTTTTGGAAAAATATATAAAATTTTTCAAAACTTTTCTTGATAAATAGAAAAATTATCAAAACTTGTCTAAAAAACCAAAAGTATAAAGAAATAGATCAAAAAAAAAATTTTAAAAAGAAAAATTTAATTTATTTTATAAAAATTGAAAATTTAGAGAAATTTTTCTTAAAAATAAAAAAATTCGAGACAATTAAAGTAATATTCCGACATTTTCTTTAAAAAAATTCTATAAAAAATATTTTTCGAAACTTTTTCATTAAATTAGAAAATTTTTCGAGGCTTTTCTTTAAAAATAGATAATTTATTGAAAATTTTCTATAAAAATAAAACATTTATCGAAATAAATTAAAAATTTGGTCTCTTTTGAATAATAAAATGTTTAATCTGTTAAAAATTTTTTATTAAAAATGGGTATTATTAAAAAAAAGAATTAAAGAAAATGTACCTATATTGAAAAGAAATTTATTTATGATTTTTTAAAGAAATATCTGCTATTAGAGAAGAATAATAAATAATTTATCAAATATTTTGTCTAAAAAATTATCCAAAATTTTCTATTATGGAGCACTTATTGAAATTTTCCAATGTTATTGAAAATCTGTCAAACTTGTTTAATTGATTATTGATTTTTACAATACTTTAAATTCCAATTTCTTAATAAATGAAGTGTAATGCATGTTTGGGGCGTAAGGTAGTAATACCAATATGCATTCCGCCGGTTATTTATACCATCTGATTAGGAAAACTCAAAATTAAAAAAAAAAAAACTAAAAATTACGCTAATAGTTTTCTTGTATTCTATTATTTTGTTTTTTGTTAAACTAAAACTTATTATGAGGGCAAAGTTTTTACAAGATTTAACATTTATTTTCCTCACAATCATCTTGCCTTTTGGGGGCTTTTTCTTTTGTTTTTCTTGTGTTGAAATAATAATATAAAAAGAAAATATAAGAATAAAACGAAAATAATATATTCACTGCCGATGATATTACTCTCTGGCTCTGTTGGTGGTGTAAAGAAGCTTGTTTGCTGGTTTAATTTTTCTTTTATTTTTTTATTTTTTTGCCAACTTATTGTACAAAGTTAATAAATGCTCCAACCAACTCACGAATGAACGAATAAAGAAAACAAACAACCGCACAAAAAAACTCACACACACACAAAAGATAGAAAACAACAAATGAACTTCTACTTTATGTTGAATTGCTGCTGCTGCTTTAGTATAGTTGTTGTTGTTTTTGTATTTCTTTATTATTTTTTTTTTTTTTTGCTTTTTGTCGTTTTTATACTCAAAGTAGTCTTCTTTTTGCTGTTTTTTTATATGTTTTTTCTTCCCTTTTAACGGAAATAGCAAAAGAGAACATAATAATAAAAGAAAAAAAATTGCAAAATTACGCGTCATATAGGAATTTTTCCTTTTGATATTTAAAATCGATCGACTATATTTTTCTTATTCATTTTTAATTTTTTGTAATTTCTTAATATTTTTCTGGAATAATTTCCATTTTACTAGACATTTACACAACACCTGGCATAAGTTTTAAGATTATTTTGTTATTATTATAGTTTTGCTCATTAACAATTTTTTGCTCCACTTTCCATTCACTTCTGATTTTTCTTTCTAATCGATATTTTTTTAAATATCTCTTGAAACACTTTTTTAAAAAACAAAACACTTCTTAACACTCTTTTATTTAATATTTTTTTTTTTTATATATATAAAAACACCCTAAGCGGATATGGTATTTGATTTGTTAATTACCGTAATAAATTATTTCTTTTAATATTTTAAATAAAAAAATAAAACGTAGGGGACACACACTGAAATTTTTCTTTAAAACGCGTAGAGCAACATTGACGACAACGACGACATGACGTTTGCGACTGCGACGACTATAGAATTGAAAATGGCGTTGTCGAACAGAGAAATATACAGATTTTTTTTCTTGTCTTTTTGTCTTCTACTATTATACAGCCTTACATAGTTGCATTTTTAAGTACTTTTGTGTATATAAAACACTAAATATGTAATGATTTTTATTGAAATATATTATAAAATACTTTCAATTTTTTTAATAAATTAATATAATATAAATAATTTTATTTTATTTTACTATTTAAAACATTTTTAATAAAGTAAATCTCTTCGTATTGCAACCCTGTTTAATCATTGTTGCCATTTCTTTCCGACACTCTTCTTCCACTCACACTCACTTCTAGTGAAGTCGTTTACTTGCTTGCACACACACACTATGACAAAAATAATTGATTTTCTCTTCTCACTGCAATAACAAAACATGTAAAAACTTTCCCTTAATTTACATGACACTTTGTTCACACTTTAATTTAAATTTCTTAAATTATTCCTCTCCTCTTATTTGTTTATATTAATTAAATAATTTTTTTATAATTTAATAAATTTTTAAAGCAACAATTAGCTTATAAAATTGCGTTTTTTCTTGTTAACAAAATTTTCTTATTTCTTTTTAATTTCCACACACACTATTTATCTCTTTTACTCTTGTTTATTTCAAATTTAATGTATTATAGTTTTGTCTCCTTCTTTTATGTTGTCGGCAAAAATGCACCCACACATACACAAACACGTTTAGGCGAAAAAAAAGAGACTTACACACATACACACACTAGCAACAATGCCAAATATCTGTGTGTAACCTTGTCATACAAAAAAACACAAATTACTTTTTTTCTATTAACTTTTTGCTTCTATTTTCCTTATTAACAGTGTTTTTTTATAAATATATTTTTCTTTTACACTTTTCAGTATATATATTTTTGAATTTGCAAATTATTTAAAGATTTTATTTGTTCTTTACGAGTGCAATTTGTTTTCAAGTTCACAGAAGTTTGTCTGCTGCTGCGAAAAGAAGTAAAAACGAAACTGTTTTTCGCTTCGAAGAGAGAGAGTGCTGCTGTACATAGAAATATCGCATGGCCAGTGTTGCCATATATTTTTTGAAAAAACAACTTTTTATTTCCAAGAAAAAAATAGTTTTTTCAATAAAAAAAAAAACTTTTTTAAGTACTAAAAGTACAAAATACTCCTAAAAAAAATTCAATTTTAAATAGCTTAATGAAAATTGGTACAGATCTTCTCCTTAACATCAGTGGTAAGGGATTACTGGATATTGTAGTCTTAGATACCATCAATTTACTCTTGAAACCTCTGTAAATATGCTTTGTAACTGCCCAACTTTGGAGACTCAAATAGCGAAGATTTTGGGTCTTACTAGACCCAGACGATGTGAACCAATGGGTTCCATAAAATATCAAATGTCTATGTTCAATGTTCATAAAAGTTTTACGAATATCTCACATATTAGCACAGTGCAGCAGTATAAAATATTAATTACATAGTTAATGATAGAAAATGATTTTTTTATTTTAAACTTATTTGTTGAATAAAAAAATGTCAAAACAGCATTCATTTTCAAAAAACTTTTTTTATTAGAATAAAACTTGAAATCTCAAAAAACAAAAAATGGGGAAACATGACATATGGTAGCACTACGCATGGCGCATCTAATAAGGTGCAGTCTTTTTAACAGCTGATTGTTTTTTTTTTTGTTCATGGAAATTTAGCCCGAAGCTGTCAAACTCCATATAAAAAATTCTCTCTCAAAACAGACATTGTCAAACTCCATATATAATAAATTTCATAAATTCTCCCAAAATTAAATGGCTACACCTTATAATCTCGGAAAATCCGCTTTATGTGCTGCAGGAAATAAAAACCGCCCTAGGGTAGTGCAGCATTTATCTGCTCATTAGAAATACCCATGTTTGAGTTAGGGTTCTATAGTTGAAACGAAAAGTCGACTTTTCGACTCTTTTCATTTAGTTAAAAGTTGACTTTTCGACTTTTTGCATTTTATGAAAAGTCGATTTTTCGACTTTTTTCATTTCAATAAAAGTCGACTTTTAGACTTTTCGACTATAAGTATTTTATAAATAGTCGACTTTTCTACTTTTTCCGACTTTTTTTCGACTTTTCGACTTTTTTCGACTTTTTCCGACTTTTTCGACTTTTCGATTTTTTCGACTATTTTCGACTTCTTTCTACTTTTTTCCGACTATTTTTTGACTTTTTTCGAGTTTTTCCGACTATTTTAGAGTTTTTTACTTTTTTCCACTTTTTTAACATTTTTGACTATTTTTGACTTGTTTCTACAATTTTCGATTTTTCGACTTTTTCCGACTTTTCGACTTTTTTCGACTTTTTCCGACTTTTTTCGACTTTTTTCGACTTTTCGACTTTCAGACTTTTCGACTTTTTTCGACTTTTATTCACAAAGTCGACTTTTCGACTTTTTTCACAGACGATAGTCGAGTTATCGACTTTTTTGGAACAAAATAGTCGACTTCGACTTTTCGACTTTTCGACTTTTTTCGACAAAAAGTCGATTGTTCGATTATTCGAAAGTCGATTTATAGAACCCTAGTTTAAATGTCGTGCGCAGCCAAGTCAGAGGTGGAAGTACACAACAATCGTTGTACTCGGCAACTGATTGGGGTTGTATTTTGTTTAGTATATATTATGAATAAACTAAAATAAAATAAATTTCTCCAACAATGGAAGAAAAATATTAAAAAATATACAAAAACTTAAAATTTTTATTTTTAAAACATTAATAGTCTTATCAATATCTTCCCTATTCATGAACCAATCCATCGAAATAACGGTACCGTTAGATATTAACAAATTGTAAACAATTTCAAGCTTTCATTTGGTTTATTGATATATACTTATATCTTAATAAATGGGGATAATATTGTAGTTTAGAAAGGTTAAAGTGTATAAAATTTATGTTTTTTATTCGATATTAGTTAATTGTTGTTGTTTTTTGAGAGGAGGAAAGTTTATACTAGTATATATAAATATCATCCCAATACATCAAATGAAAGCTTGAAATCTTTTGTAATTTTTTTTTAATATTTATCGGTACAGTTATATCGATGGATTTGCGATATCGATTTTATATTTTTTATCAGATTTTATATTTTCTTGTAAATACATAACAATTTCTTTCCGAAATATAACTGCGAAAAAATTGGTTCTGAAATTATTTTCAAATAAGAATAAGTGCTGCCAAATTCATTCACAACTGAATTACTGCCTTATCAACCTGAACAGCTGTTTTATAACAACGGCGTTAGATTTTTGAGTCAACTTTGTTATCTTTATGAATCCACCAACCGCATTAACTAAAAAATATTAGAAAACTCAGGAAATTAGCGAAAAAATATTGAAGAATGCAAGCAAATTTAACTAAAACTTTAAGCAACTTGTTACAAAAAGTGTAAGTATTATAAAGTTGAATACTAATCTCAACAAAATTGTATATATTTGTACAATTTTCATTTAGAACACTTGGTCAAGATGTTACTCAACCAAAGCAAAAACGGTGGGACAAATTGAGGCTACAGCTCAGTCCATAAGTGATAAAGGGTAAGATTTGACACTATAATAATATAAATAAAATTAAAATATGTTTATACTCTTGCAGTTTTCTCCGGCCCCATAAAACTTATGAGGCTCCCTCTAATGTTGCCGAAAAGGTGCAGGCGATTTGCGCCTCTTTACAAATATCCAACAAGCAGGATTATAATCTCAAAAACTTGGAGGAGAAATTTAAATTTTTACAAGCCTGCTTTAATGATTTTCAACACAGTGTACCCAATTCGCAAGTGCATGAATTAAAGACAGTGGGTATGTAAGACTAACGATTCTTGAAATCTTTTGTAACTTTATAAATATTTGCATATTTTTTAAAAAAGGTGATGTTATCAAATTCTACGAAACCTCTGTTAACACCACGGTTCCCTATGATGCTTTAAAACAAATGCAATTACCCGAAAACTTGCATATACAATATGATTATGTGCGTTTCAATCCCGAGAATGATACGAAGTTCAATGGACAAACTGCCTTCCCTAAGAGTTCGACTTTAGTGACCGGTCTTAAATATCGTGGCAAATATGAGGGTCACGAAGCAAAACGTTCTTGGCCTTAAATTGAAAAAATTTTATATAATTAGTTTGTTTATTATTAAACATAAACTTTATTTTTTGTTGATAAATATGTTAAAAGAATTAAAATTTCATTAAATTTTCCACAGTGGACACCAGATTGGAATCCATTAAAGAGTCTAAAGCTTTTTGTACTCTTACATCTCGAAGTAAATCTAACATGCGCTCATCTTGCTGTACCGCTTCCAAGTTGGGATACAATAATTCATAATGCGTCTCAGCCACAGAGGGTTTATTTAAAATATTAAGAATTTTCTTTTGCAATTCAATTTCTGGATCTGGTGTTGATTTAATCATTTCTTCAGCAGCATCTCCCAGTTCCACCTTCAGTTGTAGCTCACGTCTTTGCTGCAGATATTTAATAATACGATCGTATTGTAAAACCGTTAGTGGCATATTGGACGCCAATAGATTTAGCAACATTTGTATGGCATCCGGGTGACGTTCTTTTAAAGGTGGTGCCATGTAATTTGCGGTATTGGCCGGAATAATAGGTACAGGATTTGGCAGATGGGGGGCCATTTGAGGTACATTCATTGGAACGGGTGGCATGTTACGCTGCTGCTGTTGATTTGCCATACCAGCTGCTTTGTCTCGCATAATTTTTTTCCGGAAATCATCACTTACTAGCTTGATGGCGTCTTCCACCGGCATATTACGATGTTCGGCAGGTTGTCCATATAGAATATTAACTGTTATGCTATTATGTTCCTCGTGTTGATTTGTCACAAGTATCGCGTACAAGCAGTCACGTGAAGCAATATTCGAAAGCTAGAAGGAAGTTGCAAATATGATGCATATTTGAAATGTAGACAAATAACAGTGTCCAGACTTTATAGTATTTAGTTCAGATTACATAGTCCATAGTCTGGACTATGGAGTACTCTACAGTTTGGACTATGGATAAGTCTACAGTTTGGACTATAGTCCAGACTACAGATTTGTCTATTCTCCAGACTGAAGACTGTTAATGCAAACTGTGGACTACGTACTGATGAGGACGTGCTGAGTTTTGATTTAACTTACCACTTTCCCCAGGGGAACATCAGCATTGGGAAATAAAACATCAACTCTTAAATTTAAACGCTTTAAACGATCTTCAATCATTTCGGCATATTTGCTAAACAAAAACAAACAAATTTACAATCTTTCTAGTAAAAACTAGAACTTAATTCTCCTTACGTATTTTTACGATCGACCACAATAATTTCACAATCATTATAATTGGAATTATCGACATTGTCCATGCCACCACCACCTACAGCTGTCTGTGGCATTACTCCTGCACCGGCCTGAGACCAATTATTATTGCTGTTGGCTGCTACATTAGAATTCTGTTGATTTTTCTTTGAATGGGCTGCATTACGTACCGTCACCGTATTCCCCTTAAAAGTCGACTTATTTAAAGCAGCGGCTACCTTATTGGCCACCTCTTCTGATTCGAATTGCACAAAACCGAAATTTTTCTGTACTAGTGTAGCTAAAACTTTGCCATAGGGTAGACAAATACTTTCCAGGTCGTCACGCGTACATTGAGGTAAATTGCCAATAAAAATACGACTAGAAGCCTTATTCGGATCTCTTATTATGGCGAGATTTGATTTCTCTTCGGACATTTTAATTCTTGTGGTTTATTTTGGTAAAAATATTAAAATTTCGCTAGTGAAAAAATTGTAAACAAATGAAAATTTACACAAATTATTATGCTGCTTCTTATTGGCAAAAAATTCACTGAGGTTCATTAACCTATTCTGGGATAAATTCGATAATACAGTTTAAATGGAGAAGGGTTTGATAACACATGTTGATAATACAGTTTTAATAATTTTTAATAACATTTTTTCCCT